TACATGAACTAGCATGCTGTTCTAGTGTGCTAGTGGATGGGTTCGGTCGGAAGTGTTGATGTATTGTATGCTGCTGTTACTATCTGATGTTTCTATCTGACGCACAGTGCTGAGTATTGAACTAGCATGCTGTTTCAGTGTGCTAGTGGATGGGTTCGGTCGGAAGTGTTGATGTATTGTATGCTGCTGTAAACGTATTGTATCCCCGGTGTTCTTCTACCAAAGTTTATTCGCCCGTTGCAGATCGTATCTCGAGCGTGATTGTTTCTATATTGTGGTTTTTTCCAGTATCGTGAGATCTGTATTGCTGGGGTGTCTACCATGCCTTTTGAATTGATGCACTGACCACTTTCTCACCTTCCTTTTTTTTCTTCCTTTGGATGCAGATGGCAGGAAATCTACTTCGCCGGAGGGGTTCCCGCTTACCCGTGCGATGATATACAGTGCAAGATGGAATGGGTAAGTTCACTAGTAGTATATTGAAGGGTTTCGATACCTATAGAGATTGCTAGTCCCGCCTCGTGCGAGCACTGGAATCAGCAGTATATATATATATATATATATGTATATGTATGTATGTATGTATATATATATATATGTGTGTGTGTGTGTGTGTGTGTGTGTGAATGGGTCACATATACTCAATGAGAATCGCATGTCGTATGGGTATGCCCTGGAGTCAGGATGTATTTCACCCGTGGAGAGAGGCCAGTGAAGGACATCTCAGCGGTGTTTGTAGGTAGTCGATAGTGTAGTTTGTCGAGGGTTGTGTATGGGCTGCAGCAGCCGGATGTGCACTGTGCTGCCCATGAATGTATACGTCTGGTGAAATAACGGTACTTGAATACGTATCCAATCACTATTAAGCTGCATGACGGTCCTTTGTTGCTTATCTCGTTTACAATAGTTGTACTGTATCGTTTAGGTGCTTTAAAGGGCGTTCAAGGTTTCACTGTTTTATGTCTCGACATACACGGATGCAAGTCGCTCACTTCTGAATACGTTGAAACTTCTTTTGCTGCCTTAACAGGGTTGCGTTTTGGAAACCATCACGGACTCTCACTATCAGAAGTGTATCAGGGAACCCGTAGTTTAGGCCGCCTCCGCTTGCGAGCTCGATAATTATTTAGTACGCCATATTGTGTGGATGTAATTATTATCATATTTTAGAGTATACATAAACAGTCACGGCCGATATGTACATGCGAGTGTGTCAGATCTATCATGTGCCTGCTTGAGGAATTCGATTCTCGAAAATAATAACTCACCTACATAAGTGCTTTGTGCCTATTCTAAAATACGTCGGTTGTCATTGGAGTACCAATTGCTCTAGTAGCCCTGGGCGGCATTGTTAGTTTTGGTTGGGTTTGAAATTTGGGTGGTATTGACCTTTTTTTTTAATGATTTTGACATTCGGGAAAGGGGAAGTCTCGTTAATTTTGATCCTCACCAGTCGAAAGTCGTTTTCTATGTATGCCTTCGATGCTCAGTGCGTATTCAAGAGAGACGAATCTGTCTTGGATTGAATTTTTAAAATCCGATCACCTGTGTGTCACTCAGATGATCCCGCTTCAACCTGGAATGTATTTCACCTCAAACGTACTCACCAGGTCCTACAGTACACCTGATTTTTGTCGTACGTCTCGGAGTGACAAGCAACAGTTCTTTCATAAGTTTGTTGCTGGAAAGGATTCCATACACGTAGTGGAAAATCAAAGCGAAAAAATACGCGTATACAGACAGGAAAATCGAAGCGCAAGTTTGTGTGTAGTGAATCGAGTGGGGCGTAGCAGGCGAAGTTGGGCTGAGGGTACTAGAGTCTACTTATTTTAATGTCATACCCTGCTCGATCGTTCAGCAACATGTTCAGTGTACTGAATCGCCCGGGGAAGACATGCCTGTGGAGACCGTTCTGCACTCAGTCTGTATACGTTCACATGCGTGCTTCACATGCGGCAATCGTCCATCCTTCGCTCTGTATGCACGCGCTCAGTTCGCCCGTCGCACTTCGAAAATTCACATGCTTGTTTTAGAAGGTACTCTTCTCAATACCCCGAGATATTTTTCTTCTATAGAGCCCCTTTGCAGTGTATGTTGAGACTTGGTATATATGGAATGAGTGCACACTGAGACATACGATACTACGCTGCACTGTAGCTCAGGAAGCGCAAATGTGTTTTAAAGCTGTAAAGCAGTTTGTAAACATAAGCATATCGAGAACGAACGTAGAGTGATTGTATGTCTTCGAGCGCACTTTGATATGTAATATTATCCTGGAGTAAGCGTATATGTGTAAATTATGGGCAAGAAAGCCTTTTTCGTGCGAGCATGCTCAATACGGATTTGGTGACAGGAGCGATTCTAAATTCCGTTATCAAATGTCAAAACTTTCGTTTTAATGCGTGAACAGTCACACTTTCGAGGTGGGTTTAGAACGAACGCCGTACCCCACGGGGTTTTTGGTGATTAGTCTGTAGTCTGTAAGACTGTGACTTAACTATAATACTACATCGGGGTGAGATCCCGATCTTTAATAAAATGTTAGACTTGGGTTTTTATGTTAGACTTGGGTTTTTAACGCGTGAATATTCACAATATCACGATGGCGATAGTACGAAGGCCTCATATACCCACGGGAGTTTATGTATTCTTCTTCTGTAGTCTGTAGTGTTGTGATTTAACTTAAATACTACTTCGGCTTTAGATCATGTAGAACGCTTTCGCATACCTACGATCATGTCGTACCTCCACCAGTGGACGCCTCTGAGGTTCGTACCATCATGAAAAAGGTTGGGATATGCACGATGTCTATCAATCCATATGGACAACTGAACTCTATTTCAACCATACATAATTAGTGAAATTGTACTCCGGTCGCTATTTCTGTCTTTCATCTATATTATAGTTTAAGCTCGGGACATACTCCAGTATAATTAACACAACCTTGTGTGACATTAATGTTCGCCTCAGGTTCTCTATCAAGCCTCCCATAACTTTAATAGAAAGGTGCCGACATCTTCTTGGGAATCTTGCCCGGCTAGAATATACTTCCCACATGCCAGCGATATAGATTTCTAATTTCTGGAAATATATGTGCATAGTTTCGGCAAGCATACGGCTCAAACAAGATGATTCTCGAGTCCATGACGCAAAAACATCGCTGAAATAAAGTTATAGGAATGGTACTTTATTTGCCACACACATGAGTAGGAAGGCACGCAAACCGTTTGAACTACATTTGGACAACAATTTGTCCAATTCTTATTGGTTTGTCCCAAAGTTCTTCCGTTAAAAGGATCCGAACTCAACTAATTATGGAAATAGAGTGTAACTGTGGTTAGTCGTGGGCACAAATTACGCGACAGGCAATCACAGATTCCGTTTTGACTAGCACATCAGGCAGGCATATGTACAGAGTGTACAGCACTCTATCACATTTTAGTTGGCCTTCAATTTAATTCTAATTGGTATCATTTGAGAAGTTCCTATACATACGAGTGGTATTAATAGAGTATTTAACACAATGAATACTACGATTAGTGTAAGCATGATTTTATTGTTTTTTATGTATTATATGTATTTATATTTCAGTAAATATTATAATCCGCTTGGCCCAGTGGTAAGGCGTTCGCCTTCGAAGCGAAAGACCGCGAGTTCGATCCTCGCAGTGGAAATTTATGCTTTTTTTGTTAAAGATGTGTTCATTTACTGTTTTTTTTTAATTTTAAATATTCATTCTTCAATTCTTTCTGGAAGAGGTTCAAATTTTGTGGTCTATGTCGAATCCGGCAATATGACTTGTATCGCACAACGATTACCTTGCCACATGTGTCTAGATCTACGGAACACAGCTTTTCTAATGAAAAAATGAATCATTCTTCAACTCTCTCGCAGTGTGGAAGATGTAATTGAGCAGCTTCAAATTGTATACAATGACAT